TTGATAGATGTAGGTGATCCAGTAAAAGAACTTGTAAAAAATGTGGATTCTAGGAACACATTTAAATGTCTTGTCATATCTAGGAATACATTTACTTCGTGTTTAAATGCAGAGGAATCTAATTGTAAGCAATTAAATTCCAATCAATTATAAAATCACTTGTTTAGATTATAAAGTTTGGCAAATATTTCCTTTGAAATTTGGAACAAATATATCTTTTGTTCTCGTGATTTTTCTTTTCTATCCTTTCTGTTGTGTTGTGGATCACAGCAACCATCAATCATAGGATTCCTACAACAATCTAACGACAAAAGTTGAGTCGTTGAAAAGTTTGAACAAAATTCAAGTTATCATTTGCTAAGGAAGAACGTTCGTTCAATCACAATCGCTTCTGGTCATAGATGGTGGTGGTGATGCATCTGCCCGATTTCCCTCCGATTGTGATTAAGCAAACTTGCTTTTCCTCCAATTGATATTTTCCTTCTTTCCATTTCCTTTTGTATTAAATGGCATACAAGAGTATATACACGCATTCTACTCGCAAAACAATGATCGATTTGCCAGCCAATTCTGTAATACTGTATCCTTCTTATTTCCCCTTTTCTATTTTGCATTTTATTAAATTGTTAAGAAAAAAATCTTTTGTTTTAAACAGAGCATAGTCAACAAGTCTTTCTGAAACCCATGTGAACGACAGCAAGAATTGAAAATTTAATTTGGTCCGTCAACAATGAGGCCACCTAGCTATGTAGTCCGTTTGGCATAATAACACACTGAGCTGGACCTTCCCTCAAGACGGTGCCGAACCATAAATATTTATTAAATTAACTTTTTAATCATAACGGTTTTAATTATATTTTTTTAATATCTCACATTTGACCAAAAACAAATTAGACAAAACTTTACCTCCTCAGACTATGATAAATAAGAAAATGCATGTATGGCTTCGAGTTTGAAACGCACAATCACGATAAAACGACGCTGAATCATGCATTTTGAACTTCACTTTACACGTGTCCAATTTGTGTCTTTTAATGGTCACCTTATTATACCGTCATTTTTATGACAGAAATTCTCACATTTAGTATCTATGAAGTTCAAACACGTTTTACAAATAATGTGTCATTCGATGCATATCATCATACATAAATACACAAGTGTGTAATTTAAAAGATTTATTTATTTATTTATTTCTAACAATTTATAATGATTTTTCTAAAATCCCATAATCTTAAAAATTTACGCATAAAGTTATTATTACTATTATTATAGAAATATATAACAATTTTTATATGATTATTACTTTTTACTTTTTGAATATTAGATATATGTATTATATTATTTTTTTATTAAGTGACAATTTGTTTTAGACTAATTTTGTTTATAGATGATTTTAGGTATATAAATATTGGTTATTTATAGATTTAAATCTTACTGTTTTATATTTTGGAGACTACATAAGTATCTCTATTCATGACCATACGGTATTCAGTCCGATGGATCTTTTGATTTCATTGGGAATATTCAATCACAAATAAGACATGTTGTACTCACATAAAAGATTTATCATCATCTTTAATAAAAAAATTTAAGATTGCTTTCATTCTTAAATAATGTTTAATTTTCTTATTTCTATTCCATATAAAATTAGTATAGTACATACATTTGTAATTAACTTCAAAATTATTAATGTAAATTACCAATTTAATTCTTAATTATGTTATTTAACTCTTAATACAATATTATAATACATGTGTGAGTGTGTTTTTAAAAGTTGTGGACACTGCTACTTTGAGGTGAGATTGTTAAATTATTTATCAAATAAATTAATAATTAACGAGCAATGAAATCTTTAATTTAATGAACATGAACAATTTTTAATACTTCATAAAAGAGTATGTTGAAGCGTACTTAAATTAATCATTTGAAACAATAAACGTGAAAGAAAGGCATATGATTTTTCAATTATAAAACACCTTAATTTCTATATTTCTAATTTAACTCCTTATCAAATTAAAATATTATTCATAATATCTAAACAATTATATATTGTTAATTATTAATTTATTTTAATTAAATTAATTTAATATTTTAACTAATAAAATAATAATCCCAACATATTTAATTATATATATATGAGCTAAATTATTATAACCATAACCTAAAATCTCTTATCCCGATTTGGCCATTGGCTAAATCCAATAAGAACATAAACATTGTCAACGAGCATTTTAAGGCAGAGACAAGAGTAGGTTTTCGGATCCTATCCGCGTCAGGAATAGGATTGTGTGCATGTGTTTCTATAGTTTATCACTATTAATATATTAAATTACACTTGTCACGTCTCACCCAAACATTACACCTCTATTTCCCCATCTTTTCATCAAAAAAGTAAAAATTTAACCACATTATTATAACAAAATAAATTAAATTAACAATTTCATCCCATTTTTTTATTTCAAATTTAGACTAATTTTTATATTTTTAACCTTTTCAGAATTAAGATGACAGTAACTTCAATCTTAATCGTTTACCTATTTAAATTTCAAAAAGTATGAATTATCAATCGAATAAAAATAAATATACTTTTGAAACATCTAATTTATTTATTTTTATTTGACATTATTCTTTCATACTTTTTACTTTTTCTTTTAAATTACAAAATTTTATTTTTTTAAGATTATTTTATTTTTGTTAGATCTGTCAAATTAATGTATATCATACTATTCTTACTTATTAAATAGTGTGTTTTTAATAATATTTTAAAAAAATAATATTTTAACACACAATTTTCAGAGTAAATATTATTTAATACACCTAAATATTTTAGGTTTATTTAACGAGTTATTTTTACTTATTTTTTATTTTATTTTTTCTTTCGAGATAATACAAAAGTTTATATTTTTTGAATAATTTTATCTGTGTGTGAATTGACGTAAAAGTGTATTATTTCTTTGTCCTTTGGAAAGACAATAGCAAAGATAGAGTACACTCGAAGACCGCAGACATCTCACAGAAGGATTGTGTAGGACAGAGAACTAACCTTCTTAATTCCCACAAATTGGTTTTGCAGACAGATAAAAAAACTCAAACGTCAAGACCACCGACAGCAGCCACAATTATTGAGTTTATTTAGTTACATTTTTTCTAACAACTGTTACGTTTTCTGAAAACAAACTTTGACAAATGGAAAAAACACCGATAACAACAACAATAATAAATAATAATACGTTNAGACATGTTGTACTCACATAAAAGATTTATCATCATCTTTAATAAAAAAATTTAAGATTGCTTTCATTCTTAAATAATGTTTAATTTTCTTATTTCTATTCCATATAAAATTAGTATAGTACATACATTTGTAATTAACTTCAAAATTATTAATGTAAATTACCAATTTAATTCTTAATTATGTTATTTAACTCTTAATACAATATTATAATACATGTGTGAGTGTGTTTTTAAAAGTTGTGGACACTGCTACTTTGAGGTGAGATTGTTAAATTATTTATCAAATAAATTAATAATTAACGAGCAATGAAATCTTTAATTTAATGAACATGAACAATTTTTAATACTTCATAAAAGAGTATGTTGAAGCGTACTTAAATTAATCATTTGAAACAATAAACGTGAAAGAAAGGCATATGATTTTTCAATTATAAAACACCTTAATTTCTATATTTCTAATTTAACTCCTTATCAAATTAAAATATTATTCATAATATCTAAACAATTATATATTGTTAATTATTAATTTATTTTAATTAAATTAATTTAATATTTTAACTAATAAAATAATAATCCCAACATATTTAATTATATATATATGAGCTAAATTATTATAACCATAACCTAAAATCTCTTATCCCGATTTGGCCATTGGCTAAATCCAATAAGAACATAAACATTGTCAACGAGCATTTTAAGGCAGAGACAAGAGTAGGTTTTCGGATCCTATCCGCGTCAGGAATAGGATTGTGTGCATGTGTTTCTATAGTTTATCACTATTAATATATTAAATTACACTTGTCACGTCTCACCCAAACATTACACCTCTATTTCCCCATCTTTTCATCAAAAAAGTAAAAATTTAACCACATTATTATAACAAAATAAATTAAATTAACAATTTCATCCCATTTTTTTATTTCAAATTTAGACTAATTTTTATATTTTTAACCTTTTCAGAATTAAGATGACAGTAACTTCAATCTTAATCGTTTACCTATTTAAATTTCAAAAAGTATGAATTATCAATCGAATAAAAATAAATATACTTTTGAAACATCTAATTTATTTATTTTTATTTGACATTATTCTTTCATACTTTTTACTTTTTCTTTTAAATTACAAAATTTTATTTTTTTAAGATTATTTTATTTTTGTTAGATCTGTCAAATTAATGTATATCATACTATTCTTACTTATTAAATAGTGTGTTTTTAATAATATTTTAAAAAAATAATATTTTAACACACAATTTTCAGAGTAAATATTATTTAATACACCTAAATATTTTAGGTTTATTTAACGAGTTATTTTTACTTATTTTTTATTTTATTTTTTCTTTCGAGATAATACAAAAGTTTATATTTTTTGAATAATTTTATCTGTGTGTGAATTGACGTAAAAGTGTATTATTTCTTTGTCCTTTGGAAAGACAATAGCAAAGATAGAGTACACTCGAAGACCGCAGACATCTCACAGAAGGATTGTGTAGGACAGAGAACTAACCTTCTTAATTCCCACAAATTGGTTTTGCAGACAGATAAAAAAACTCAAACGTCAAGACCACCGACAGCAGCCACAATTATTGAGTTTATTTAGTTACATTTTTTCTAACAACTGTTACGTTTTCTGAAAACAAACTTTGACAAATGGAAAAAACACCGATAACAACAACAATAATAAATAATAATACGTTAAAAGACAGACCAATTAATGTAACTCCAATCAAATAACTTAACGCGTCACCAGAATATGCATATAAACACCAGAGTCTAGTACTGCCTACAATAAATCCGTGAACCCTATTCGCTCAACCGGATTTTCTTACTTTGTTAAATAGCCAGTTGAAGTTTGTTTCTTTTGTCTCTTTGCATTGTAGTAGTTGTTTGGAATCTGCGATTGAAGAAGATCAAAGCAAAAGTATTCGAGAATCATGGGCAACTGCATGGAGACAGAAGGAGATCATGGAGAGGAGAAGCAAGAGGATGAAAGAGGAAGAAGATTTGTGAAAGCGAATGGTGGTGTGAGCATGAAAGTTGTGGTGACAAAGGAGGAGCTAAAATGGCTGATACTGAAACTGAAAGAGGAGAAAGGAATGAGATTGGAGGAAATGGTGACAGAGATAGAAAGAATGAGAGAAGACAGAGTTGAAGGGTGGAAACCTTCCTTGGATAGCATCATGGAAGCTCCTGAAATGCTTGACATGGATAACACCACATCCACATCAACACAGCTTTCTCTGTAAATTCAATACTCTTGTTTTCTTTTTCCATTTTTAGAATACTCAAACATCATCAACTAGGATTTTCCTTTGTTTCTAGATCTTATATTTTTGTTTTGGTCGCGTCTGTTGCAATAGATCTTCCTCTGCTAGATTCTGTGATGTCCTTTGATGTTGTGTGGTGTTAGATTCTTCATTCATTCTGATCTACACTTTCTTAGTTTAGTCTAAGTAGTACTTAGATGATTTTGCTTTTGTCCTAATAATAAACACATGATAGGAATATTGAATCTCTCTTATGATAAAGTTAAGTAAGTTTATTTATTGTTAAATACTAATTATTACAGAATGAAACTGAACCACAGATGAGGTTTTATTCCAGGATGACAACTTTGATTTTAGCTTGCTTTTTAAAAAGGATAGTCAGATTGTTTGATGTAAAGGATATAGCAGTTTATTTTGCAAAATTATCATTTGAGATCTATCTCTTTCTCTTATATCTATTATAAAATTTTAAATAATGAAATAGTGTTACATTTATGTAAAAACAAATTGAATTTTGGAATAAAATAATAGTATTTATGATTGTTTGATAATTGTATAAAATATAGTTGCTCTTTTTCATCTTTCCATTTATGACTTTATGGTGGAATTTTATTCAAAAATATAATTCCTGAATTTGTAATTCAATGTCATACACGCATAATTGTATTTATATAAAATATTTTATCACTAATTAATAATACAAATAATAAATTAATTCTTTTGATGTTTACTTTTCTTATCATTAAAAATACAATTAAAACATATCAAAATTAATTTTTATGGTTTTTTAGTAAGTTGAATTTTAATAAGTTCATCAAGTTACTCGAACTAATTTCAAGTTGATGGATATATATGTATGTATGTGTGTTTTGTGTGTGTATTGTGTGTGTATGTCATTTCTTTTAATATATTGATTTCCAATACTTTCCTCATGATACATGTATTAATCAAGTCTCGTGGATTTTTTTATACATTTCCATATTCAAAATTTAATATATAAATTTAGTTGGTATTTAAAATTTATATATTTTTTAATTAAATTTGTATTATTTAACTTTCTCATTAACGACAGCTATTATTTTATTTCATTATCTTATTTATTTATATATTAAAAAAATATAGAATTTTATACTTAATAAAAATAATAAATTATTATTATTATTATTTTAATTAGAAATATGTTGAATAAAGATATTATCATATTGCATGATATCTTCTGTATTATCACATAAAATAATAAAAAGAATATTACCTTCAATTTTTTTATTAAAAACTTAATTAAACATTTAATGATAAAATAAATTTGTGAAAGGCTTAAAATTTAATCAAAATTTTTAAAATTTATCTTTAAAAAACTCTGTTTGAATTCGTATATTTGTAGAAAAATAATAAAATAAAAAAGAGGTATGCGTAAATGATATTTTCCTATGTCCATATTTTTCCTGGATACATATATTGTGCATGTGCATAAGTTTCTAAGAAAGGGTATGTTAATTAATCCTCAAAATCATAAAATTTCTTTAATAATTAAAATATCATCTTAACATCTAATTAAAATCATCCTATAATTTTTCATAGCTTCATTTTTCATAGTTTCAAATACTCAAGTAATGATAGGATTGAAATATTACTCTTTACTAATTTCAAGAAAATTTAGATACTGCCACATTAAATTTTACAGTGTTATAATAACATTCGATGATTCGATTTATAATTAAATACTAACGAATAACTTTTTGCATCTTTTTATCTGAAACTACAGAATATGATGACGATTCTTAATTATTTTGAACTTCTTGTAATATATATCCTGTTATATATATTTTCTAATATTTTTGTAATGCACTTTTAATACAAAGACAGCTTTAAGTAAAATAATTAACAGGCCCAACTAGGCTTTAAGAAAAAAAAAAGGCTTCAGCAAGTTCAACAGAATTGATATGGGCCTTAAATTTTTTTAATTCATTAAACTCTTCTCAACAAAACCTTATCCTATCTAACCAATTTCTTTTTTAGGGTGTTACTCCCTCCACCACCACCACCCTCTCCCTCCACCTCCCCAACCTTTTCTAAAGTAAATTTAATTACAAAAATAACCTTTTCTAATTACAAAAATAACTTTTATTTTATTTTTAATCATATTTATTTA